TACGGGGGGGGGGGGCGCCCGTCCCCCCCTACGGCCAGGTTAGCATTTTATTTATTTATTCAAAATAGCATCTGCATTAAATTTTATTGGAGCCAGTGAAATAGATACTCAAGTTCTTACCCCAGACGAAAAATAAAAATGGCAAAAGGACGAGGCATGGTGGTAGGCGGGGAGGGGGGGGAGGTAGATAGGAACTTGGGAACCTCCCCGTCTATGAAAATTTTCTGTATCCGCCCCTGGAACCGAGAGCAACCAAAATTGGCAGGCAAAATTTATCCAAAAGTTTATTCAAGCTTCGAATTAAAAATTAAAATGAAGAATACGTTCCATCGTGATTGAAAATTTTCAAAACTATGCGTTCTCAGTCAAAAGATCGTCCCTGTATCGAAATAAAAGTAAGCTTTATAATAGTAATAAAAGCTGCTAATAATAAATGATAATAAATAATAAAAAATAATAAATAAATGATAATAAATAATAATAAATAATAAATAAATGATAATAAATAATAATAAATAATAAATAAATAATAATAAATTATAATAAATTATAATAAATGATAATAATAAATGATAATAAATGATAATAAATAACAGTAAATAACAATAAATAGTAAATATTAATAAATTATGCTCTTCGATTTTCTAACCTGAAGGGTTGGGAATGCCAAGGAACGACCGTGTCATCTGACGCCTCTAATCTCGAAATGCATTGTAATAGAAGCAGAAAGAGACCCTTCCATCAGTTAAAAAGTAAAAAGTAACGTCATACGATAAAACGGAGAATACGGGATCACAGGCATTTTTTTATTACCACGAATGTCTCGTGCCTTCATACTAGAAATAACTGAAAAAGTGAAAATCTGTGAGCGCTGGGGGAAATTTTTGCGGGGGACCTTGATTGTTTTTCGCTGGGACGAAATGGGGGTCCGTCCGTGCCAAGTGGTCCGAAGTTTCGCGGCAGGAAATTTCTCTAAATTTGCGAATATTACATTCTATACAAAAGTTCATCATATTATCGAGTCAGCTTAGGTGTGAAGTTTTTACTCATCACATTGATAGATATGAGCGGACCCCTCATTTTCAAATAAACGTAAGTCACAAAATAACAAACTTAAGTCACAAGATAGCCTTGCTATCTTTTTCCGAATTCAGTAAACATGGGATGACTTATGTTAATTTCAGACTTTCATTTGATCTATTGAATGAAAATAACACTAAATTGATAACGTTCCGCTATACGAGGGAAATGTGACTATTAGAGCAAGCGACTTTAACCATGAAATGTCACGTCCGACACTTTTCTTCGCAAGTAGAATATCCCAAGGAGCACCTGAGTTATTTTATGATTGTTCAGTGAACTTTTTTTTTTAATCATTTATTTAATTATTTTGCTTGAATTGCTTTTAACTGCACTATTTTTTGACTTGCACTCGTTCTTTCCTTCTCCAAATTCTTTAGCGCTCTTAAGCAATAGCTTCGTGTTCGCTCTCGAACGAAAATAAATAAGTCGATGGAGGAAACTCTTTATTGATGACTCAACATTAAGCCCACATATATATATAACAGGAATTTTTTTATCACAGACCCATTCGTACCACGTCGATAACTAGAGAAATTGCATCAGAAAAATTGGAAGACGATGCGTGATTTTGTTGTCGTTTTGGCACACGCGCGGTTGTGCGCGGTTGTGAGTGGTTATGCACGAGAGACGACGAATATGCGAATATTTTATGCGAGACCTACACGAATAACGAGGATACTGATCGCTAAATGCCCTTTTTTCTGCGGAGGCACTGCAAGAAGTCCCACCGTCCGCTACGATCCGTTCCGTGTGAACGGGGTCCAACGTCTAGCACCTTTGACTCCGTTCCACGCGTTCGCACGTCTAGATTCACGACTAACACCAACGGCTAAAAGCTCTCGTCGGCTCTATCACACTGGAAGCACGTCACCGGTTTCGAATTTCCTACATTTTGCTACACGGTCGCTACAGGCTCTCCTTCCCTGAGGGTGCGTCGGCCGCCGACCGACCTACAGGTCGTGCCCGAGTCGGTCGAGCTCCGCGAGCATGTAGTCGACGTCGTCCTTGCACACGGCCGGGTTGCTCACGATGCTCCGGAAGAAGTTGGGCCACTCGCCCAGGGGCTGGTAGCCGATCATCATCCTCCCTTTGTCCATCATCCGGCCCTTCAGCTTGGCGGTGATCTGGGGGTGGGAGGGAGGGTCGGTCAGGGCTCCGAAAGTCTCCATTCCGTCATTTATGGAATTGATTAATCATTTATTTTATGCGGATTTTTACTCATTTATTGATAAATCGCGATTGGAAGTCGCGAGTCGCCATCGACTTGGGTCACCTCGCACTCAACTCTGTGATTTTTAACGCAAATGAGGCCCCTCGGCTCCACGCTTCCCCAAAGGACAAAAGGACAGACCTTGCCGAGCTCCTCCTGCCAGTGCTTGTCCTTGGCCTTGCCCCGGAGCCTCTCGGGCACGTACCAGAAGCACACGTTCACGCACTCCGGCGGGTCGATGAGCAGGTGGAACTTCTCGCCTTCCTCCTTCATCCGCTTCACCTGGTACTCCATCATGCCCATCAGATGGTTCATTTGGTTGTTGTAGCCGTCCATCCCCTAAGAATCACCAGAATGAACCATCGATTCCGCAAACTGCTTCATAAAATATAAAAAACTAATTTATTTTTAATTAATAAAATGAATATAATACATGATAAAATTAATATAGTACATAATAAAATTAATATAAATAAATAATAAATAGAAGATTAAATAAAAATCGGTCCGTCGACTTGCTATTCAAAGCTTAAAAAAAAAAAAGCTTGAGGGAGATACTTAGCAGGGCTGACCTTGCCCCTCCACATGAGCCAAACTTTGAAGATGTCGTTATGGCGGCCGCATTGGATGACCTTGTCCCCCGTGTCATAGGTCACGTCATAGTGCTTGTCCTGCTGGAAAAGGTAATCGGCCGACATCTGGTTGCACGAAATCAGCAGCCCCTGCCGAAAAAAGACGCATCCCATCCGCAATTTCAACGCAATTTCAACGCATCCTCCCATGAGTTGAATGCACCCACATCCTCCTTGAAGTGAACCGTGGAGCATTGAAGCAAGGCGCTCATCAGCTTGTGAGGGTTCCACGTCACCGAGTCCGCCCTACCGCATCGCAGGAAAATCCATTCATCCGTGAATTTTTTTTAGCAGCCGAATCCGCCACGCTTTCTTTTCAAATTTTTTTCTCAGAATTTTCCAAAATGTTGACCTACCTTTCAAGGCCCTCGAACTTGTATCGATACTTCTTGGACAGGAGAAGACCTCCGCCCCATGCAGCCTGCAACGGCATTCAAGCAATCAGTTCCCCGCTGCTTTGGCATCCAGATAGAGACGTGAGCGGGCCGGAATGCCCGCGGATCCGGCCGATCCTCGTTCCCGCCTCAGTTCCCGCGCGGGTCGGACGGCCCGGCCCGGAGGCTATCGCACTCGGGGTCGCGAGGAGGTCGAAAGAACATATTCCCTTCGAGTGTGGCATATCATTTGCATCGAAAATTCAAGTTCCCCACCTCGCAGAAAATGTGTGATCTACCCGATAGTATAATTTTCATATTCCGGGCCGCTTCAGCCGATCTAAGGTTGCATACTTTTCCGGTTTAACTGGGAGACTCCCCTTTCCTCAACGGAAATCCTCCATTAGTGCAGGAAAAACCTCTGGAGACATCTGAGTTCGGGTTCAATGACCTCCGGTACAAACGATCCCTTATAATTCTCGATCGCCCACCTGAAACGTCTAGGGGTCAAGGTGCCACTCCCCCCTCCCACTTTTCTTTTTCTTGCTCGCGTGATAGAGTGAGGTATAAGTCGCGACACCTAGCATAGCAAGCCGAACACGTATAGTTTACCGGGTAAAACACAGATGTCAATACGAGACGTTTCTGGTTCGGGTGTTGCATTTAGACAGATCGGGGGATAATCATGCGAGATTGCGCACAAATAGAAAGTCTGTTTAGGCCTTGTGTTTGAAGGAGAAAAAGTAGAATGACGAAGTAGTGTGCAGTTTCCAAACGACGGGAAATTCTAATTTTCCTCAATTGATAAAATTCTTCACTTTCTCATAAACCGCACGAAGAACGGGCGCAGCGACTCACGTCGACATGAAGCCAGAGCTTGTATTTGCGGCAGATATCCGAGACGGGAAGGATCGGGTCGAAGGCCCCCGCCACGGTGCTCCCCGCGGTGCAATTGACGAAGAACGGCGTCTTCCCCTCCCCCCTCGCCCTCAGCACCGCCTTCTCCAGCTCCTCCGGCAGCATCCTCCCCCTATAAAAGGACGGGTCGGCCCCCTCTTGCCCTTCAGTCCGCTCGCGGACGGAGGGCAGAGCGGGACCGCGGCTCACCTCATGTCGCATTTCACTTCGACCACGTTCTCCGTCCCGATCCCCATCACCGCTCCGGCTCCCAACATCGAATAATGACTCTAAAATTAGAAATTGAAGGGAATTACGAATAGAAATATTCTTTATAATACATTGGGGCGATAAAAGTACCATTTATATAGTTATAATTTTTAATTTTTAATTTACCCTCAATCATTTCCTCCCCCGTCCCGTCCCAAACATGAACCCTAAATTTCGCAACGACCGCAATCGTGCCAAAGTCGTGATTCCTCGTAGGCGTACATATGATAGAACAGAATGCGATGGAGTTGATCCAAACCTCCCCCTTACCCCCCTCCCCCCTCCCTCCCGGACACCCGGCCCCAGCTGGTCCAATCCCTTCGATATCCGCATTCCCCCGCGTTTTGGCAGAGGCTCTTTCCTCTTCCCTAATTCTCGGTGATGATACCCATTTGCTCCATCGTTTATCTCCTCTCCGCTCGTAATTAAACCCTCTCCTCACATCTATTTTCTCCCCCTCCCTATTTTAATTAATAAGAAATCTGCGCTTCCCCCCCAATGTCAATATTCTTTCTTCTCCATTCTGCAATGTCATCACGGCCCAGCACTCACAAACACGCCTTCAACAATTTACATTTCATCAAATCACGTCTGCCAAAACGGACTGACCTGTTCAGAAGTGAAGAAGACGAGTTGCGGCATGGCCTTCATGCCCTTGGTTTTGCAATCGGGGAACATCTTGTGCCGAGCGCACAACACAGCGTACAGATTTGATATTGCCCCGCCTACAAAAGAAATCGCATGCGAAAATTTTTTTCCTCGTTCCATTTCGATGCCTTCGAGCTATTATTTTATTGCAAGCAACAGGAAAGCGAATCCGCTGTATATATCCGCTACATGCGAGGAAAGGTCAAACGAAATGAAAGAAATGTCTTAACCCCGTTCCACCGACCTAAATTCAAATCACTTTCATCATGCACGCAGACTCGCGTGGAGAAGGTCTGTCGATCCAATATCGGCGATGATTCACGTCCAGGACAGTTATTGGTTTTCCTCTGACACTTTGGGAGCCAATTCGATATTGTGCCGATATTGAGCCGATATTGGACCGTTTGCTTCACTCACTCAGAATTTGGACAATTACTGCTGCCTCCACACCTGACATAAAGGCATCCCTCGTATTTCCTGCATTACACGTGTGCGTGCAAGTCTACGTGCGTGGGAGAGGTCACTCGAATGAAGGTCAGTGGAACGGGGGGGAAATTCTGTCCGGGGTTTCCTTTGACCCTAGTCAATAGAAGGCAAATCCACCGAATTACGCAATTTTGAGAGAAAATTCTCCAATCCTCAACTCGCGCTAAATTATTTCTCATACTGAAAAAGAAAGCAAAGAGGAGAGAGAGAGAGAGAGAGAGAGAGAGAGAGAACCGACCGGGCGCGAGGATGGAATCGCCCTGAGGGAATCCGATGATCTGCCGCATCTTCTGCAGCACGACCTGCTCCATGAGGATGAAGACGGGGGCGATCTCGTAGGTGAACATGTTCGTGTTGGCCGTGGCCGTCACCCACTCGCCGGCCAGGGACACGAGGTCCAGGCCGCACGACAGCTGGTTGAAGAAGTGGGGGTGGCCTGGGGACGAAAAGCGGTTGCTTCGTTTTCTTCGGGAAGACGTGCTCGTCGGAGCGATACGGGGCGATTCGCGAACGCGGGCGATATTTTGGCGCGAACGCGGTTTTGCTGCTTCGAATCTGCATTGCGCGATGCCGAGTTGACGGTTGACTCGTTCGAATGCGGGGCCGAAGTTGAGCAATTTGCACGGAATGAGTTTTGGATTTTAATAGATGCGGTTCCCTGTCGTTAATCACAAAGCGGTCACGTTGGCTGGGCTGCACGACTCGGTCGTTCATCCGTGCCGAGATGCATCCGAGCCGAGACGCATCCGTGCCGAGATGCATCCGTGGGAGGGGACAGGTCTCCATCGAGACATCAAAGGGATGGGGATGGAGCATTCTTCTGCCGTATCTCCACGACGGGAAGACTATTTCCTGCGACTACGGCAGCCGATATCGGAAATAGAGACGGGGATATTGAATCAAGAGGGGGGGAGGGGGGCAGGAAGGGGGGGGCGGAGGGGGGGGGCCTTATCACGGGAACATATTTCAGAATAGCTCTCAATCAGAGGACCGAAGAAGGGGAAGGGAGAGGGGCAGCTCCCTCAATGAAATATGTGTGTGCGGTGATAGAATTCCCTGGAGTCCCGGGTTATTGATGGCAACTGCTGGGGAAATATGGGAATTTAAGCCGGCCAATTTCAGCCGGGAAAGCCTAGTTAAGCACTGGGAATGAGCTTCTCCGATCGGACGGAAGGGGATATACGGCTCCCTTGCCTGATGGCTGTCTGGCAGATGCCTGGTGGATGCCTGGTGGATGCCTGGTGGATGCCTGGTGGATGCCTGGTGGATGCCTGGTGGATGCCTGGTGGATGCCTGGTAGATGCCTGGTGACTGGTCTTGACACCTCTTTGTCATTTGCGAAGACGATACAAGAGGGGAGACCTCGAAGAGGGAGTCCTCGATGAGGGAATCCTCCCTCGAAAAGGGGAGTCCTCTCTTTGAAGAGTCATCCCTTTAACAATAGTCGGGGGAGGGGGGAGGGGAGGGGGGGGGGGAGCCGACACGAACACACTTCTTCCTTCCCCTCCCGCTGTTTACACTGGCTTTTACCGGGATTCTCCATAGCGCTGTGCCGTTTATGCTGCACACCGCTAAGCAAACAAGCTTTCCTTGCCCTTCTAATCGATTTCTTATATTCGGAGCTGTGATATCATTTGCAGAAGTTCTCGAGATTTCGTTTCTTTCCTGTTTTTGCGGCCCGAATCCGAGCGTTTTCGTCTCATTTCTTTAATTCTGAAGGAAAAATTGAGTCCCGCTTAAATACGTTTAAAATAATTTTTCCTGAAAGCATTTATTTGCTATTTAAATCATTTGCAAATAAATCATCCGTTTCCGGTTAGACGCGAAAACCTCACGGATGGTTCCACAAAAAAAAAATTGGTGAAATTTGCATGAAATGAAATTGTGGGATTTGGTCTTGGTGTTTTGACTGGTAACAATAATTAGCGATCACGGAGAGCGGCGTCTACTGTAAGCACCATACCAATTTAAGTTTGAACAAATGCCAAATTGCAAAAAAAAAAAAACGGGATCTCGAGAAATTTTTGCGACGGATCAAACGTCGACGAGATCCCGGCCGGAAATCGCAGTTTCTCGCCTGAAAATTTTCGTGCAACTTCGCTTATGATCTCGCTTCTCATCGTTCGAGAAAACTGGTGACGTCATCAGGTGTCGCCAGTTCTTTAATTGGGCTTAAATTGTTAGAAACACTAAAACCCGTATCTTTCCTGGTAAGCACCTGGTAAGCACCTGGTAAGCACCTGGTAAGCACCTGGTAAGCACCAGCGAAGAACGCTGCTCCAAGTTTCCTCCTCCATTTTCGCGAAAATTAGATCGGGATTAGATTCGCGAGTCAACAAGTTTTTGCAAAGAATTTATCAGAGACAAGGAAAATTTTTCTGGGATGCCCGAAAGGTGCTCCGAGGGGTGCCCCTTCGGAGTACCCGCGCTCGAAACATCATCGCAAACGATCGAGCCTGTCCCCTAAAAGGGGACAAGCCTGTCCCTCAAAAGGGGACAGAGGGATATGAGAAAAGGGAGGCTATCTTTTACATCAAAAGTTTTTCCGGTCCGCTGCCACTAACCAACTTATAAAAACGGCGAGGGAGAAAAGAATCAAAGGGCATGAAATAGGGTTCTTCCCCCTCCCCCCCCCCTTCTACCCCCCCTGCCCCCCCCCCCCCTCCCCTTCTTACGTTTCGTTATTGCAATGCCTTTCTGTCCTTCCTCGTTTTTAATCTCCCTGTCAGTCCCAGATCTGCTTCCTCGTGTCCTTTATACACAGAAGGGCCGAGAGCCAAAACGCATATTAGCGCCCACTTATTGTTTCCCATTAGCCCGGCCCTTCCTCCCCCTTCCTCCCCCTTCCTCCCCCCCATCCCCCTTCCTCGCCCTTCCTTCTAATCCGGGCTCCAGATTCCCCGCTATAAAT